CTTTTTTTTTCTGGCACGATTCACATAGATATTTTTATCTTCCTCAATCACTATCATGTAATTCATCAGCGTTAGAAATCAAATTCAAAACATCTTGTATAGAATACGAACATATAATTTGTTCCCAACCAATAGATCACCCTCATAGTTATGTTGCCGCTCAATTATTTTACCTTTGAAATGAATATTTGTATTTAAACTATGTACTTATATTATTTGACAAGTTTAAAAGTACAAAGAGATGGTTCAAATAGAATTCGGATCCTTACTAGATCTTCTTTGGGAGGATTCCGATAATCCGTCAATCATGTTCGTTCATCGTACATCATTGACACATCCCGTCCCGAATGAGGGCATGCTGGCCGTCACGTGAGAGTGACGTAACCAAAAGTGCGATGCGGAAGCAAAAAATATGATAAATACAAAGGAATAAAAACCAACTACTAGCAATAATATTCCATAAACTTTTAGATTCTAGGATCAGGGTGTGTCAATCATGCAGTCAGAAATTATTTAAATATTTTTATTTAAAATTAAACACAAATAATACTTAACAAAAACTAACCGTACGATATACGATGAACAAACACGATAAATAGATCCCTAAAATCCTCACCAAAATGATCCGGAGAGGATCCTGTTGGGTTCAAATATATGAGCCACTTAGCAGTTTATAAAAATGAAAGATAAAAGTAGTTTAAAAATCCAAACTAATTAATAAGCTAGACTATCGAAAACAAATCAGTACAATTTTATATTTTATGGTGCATGGTATAGCCATATTGTGGTTGAAAATGAGTCAAGTGAGAGCACTACATGGGTTTAGCACAGCGTCCATTAAATGTGCGATCCTCCTACGTATCAACATAGGGTGAGAACTGCATCCACACTTGTCATTTGGTGCTCTGTTGCCTTGAAACATGATTGATTGAGATCTTTTTTTTTTTTTTTTTTTTTGTGTTTGAAGCTCGCACATTGAGATATTTGAACCACTAAATTTCAAACTTATAGTTCTTATTAGCCTATTCTATTGGCCTATTTTACATATCCAAAAACTTGAACGATTCAATTCTCTTCTTTTTTTCTTGAACAGTCCGGACCTCTTTATTCGCAGACTCTGAATATAAAAATTCAAATTGGATCTCATTTCTTGAAATATGAGTAGAGCACGAGCACTGAGATAATCTTGAGTCAAGTCATGCCTAACTTTCTAATATTAGCGGATCTGTATTTTTAATGTTTCAATGACATAATTTAGATGAAAAATAAATAACACTTACCTTACATGTGAATGGCATGATGACAAATTCACTACATGTGTAGCCCATGTATGTACATTTGGACTTTGAATGTTAGACCCAAATATGTACAGTGTTTCATATGGACCCATATATGGAGGTTCCTGTTTTTCGGATCCACTAGAAAGCATGCCCACTAGAGGTGTAAGATTTAATATTCTTAATTTCAGTCCTAAATCATTTAATTTCAAATCGAATTATTTATTTATTTATTTTCATGTCAAACCAAACTTGCACCTAGGATATACATTACTACATCCATCTTTTTTTTTTTTTAGTACATCGATATTTTTACACTAAGGAGAGGGAGAGTTTGGTAAAACCATACAATAAACAGCCTAATTTAGTATCAAATTCGCCATCTACGAGATTCGAATATAAGACCTCTCACTTCCAAGTAAAGATGAATACCACCAGACCGTAGTACTGAGTGACCTACATCCACCTTATCAGAGAAAGGAGTTTGGAAGTTTGGTTAGGTGTCCTTCATAATCTTAATTAGGTAACTAAGCTCCTAAAGTCAAAATTTCCCTACACTTCCTGCTCAAAAACTGCAGCATATATATATATATAGCTCCACCTCTCAAAATCCATAAGATTTGCTAGTATGTATATCTTTACATACTATAGATTGGAACATGAGCCAGCACAATTTAAAGGAAACCAAAGATGAGTTGCTTCATAGTTGGCATCCCACTTCACTGTTTATATAGCGAGATAATCGTTACGTGAGATATATTAATTGTTCAAAATTTAGTGTTTAAATGTTTTTTTTCTACTTCGCTTCATGAGCCAGAGTGTAATCCCTCTAAACCCTAATATATATATATATATATATATATATATATATATTAATACACACACACACACATACACAGATCATTGCCAAAACCTAACTGACATGCTACTCAGAAATTCAAATACATATATTCGCCAAATTCCAACACAAACAGATCGTTAGGGCACACAGCTAGATTAGGACTCATTCATTAACATTAGCAAGTAATTGTATTTTTTGAACAGCAACAAATGTATATCAGTTTCTAGTTACATTACTTGAAGAATGCATTTGCATGGTTTCGAGTTGTTTGCATTTTTCTGCATTAAGATGACTGATTAAACATAATAACATATAGTATAATCTTCATCGACCAGCTATATATATAACACTTTCGGGGGATCACTAGAACAAAACCTAACAAATGACATACTGCCAAAGTTTCGATAGGTTTTGAATTTTGATCTGTCACAAATAACAAGCACATTTGAAAGATGGTTTTCGTATCATCTGACTGAACGAGGTCAGTAAGTTGCGGCCTCAGTGATCTCCGTTCGCGCAGGTTGCGGGTTTCCTTCATAGTAACCATCAAATTCTGCTTCTACATTACAAAATTTATCTGAGCTTGTCAATTGTATCAACGAAATGCGGCAATCCATAAGGCTTTGCGCACATATTCGCACCTCGTTTATTTCCAAATGCTCAACCCTCCATGTATGCATGCCAGGGGTTGAGAAAAGTTGGGAGCACTGTGTTCTTTCAACTCAAAAGTTGGCTAACTTGATCCTATCCAATTACTGAATTTGTACATAAAAAGGGAAGGACTAAAAGACTAACCCTTGACCATGCATCATCACCGTTATTTGTTTGACAAGTTCCGGATGAATGGAGCGTTAGATGTAAAGCCAAGAATCCAACAGTCAAAGGATTCAACAACCATAAATATATACACTGTTGCATACTAAAAAAATCCCGAGAGAGGGAGAGAAAGGATACTTGGTCTTTGCCGGTGGTTTACTAGTGTTTCAAACTGCACACAAAATTGTAAAACAATGAGTCATCAGAGTCATAATTATAAATTGAAAGTACCCGGCTTATCTGCCCTTCTAGTTCCTATACACTCACATCCCCTTCTATTTTGTATGGTCACGGTTAAGTCACGTCAATATTTTCTATTAATTTTGTATAAAGATAATAAGACAAAAAGTAATAGTGATATAAAATATTGAAATGGCTTAACCGTGACCGCACAAATAGGAAATGATAATGTGTATGAGAACTGAGAGAGGGCAGAGAAGCCAGGTCCAAATTGAATTCATCGTGCAAAAGAGCGTGCATTGAACAGAATGGAGATGTCAATTCTCAGCGGGTGGAGACCCTGAGGGGGCCGATGGCTTGACTGACTTGTTCAAATCCAAAACCCAGTTTAAAAGTCATTAGTCACTGATCATGTAATGGTAAACCTTTCTTGAACGTTTTCGCCAAATTTCTCTGAACAATTTTCTCAAGTGGGTTTGATTAAAATAGTTTTCACATTGACGAATTAACATAAAATTAAATGACATAAGAGATTCTGTATCTTTGTGTGTCCTACATATGATGCGATCGGATATTCTTATCAATTTTATACATGATTAGGAAGTTATTTCATATTCATATGGCTTGTTTGCCATAAAGAATATACTAATTAAACACTAATTAGAAGAAGCAAACACAAACACTGAGACAATTGACTTGACCTTTTGCCAATCCTAAAGTTAAACTACCATTCTTAATTCCAGTTTTGCCCTGTTTTCACGTTTTCATGGATTCATGCACATTTCAGTCGTTGCCATTAAAATACCCAGCTGCAAATTACTCAAAACACCCTCAGATTATACTATTGAGAGAGAGAGAGAGAGAGAGAGAGAGTCAACGTGTAATGCCATGGCAGATGCCAGCACATGAAAAAGAAAGGAAACCAGTAGTACTCTACCACAATAGTTATGTGCATCCCAGTGGTTACCACCTGCTTTGCTCTCCTTTGTGTTGCAATTAATTAATAGGAGTCGTAAACAAAAATTTGTTAGAGATTTTGGAATGAATCGCAAATTTTGAGTTTAATTCGTATAAATTGAAATCAAATTCGCACTACCAAAACAATATTGTAGAACTCAGATTTATATATTGTAATTTTAAGAATAAAACTCGCATAAAATGCCCTGTTTCATTCAAGAAAAAAACTTACCTAGATCGAGGATTTTATCGTGACAGTAACCTAAATACATTATACCTTTTGACTTAGAACAACGCCACAATACCATCCACGTTGCATGAAGTCTTTCTATTCAAATACATTAGATGAGATTTGAAATTTACCAAGTAGTTCCACCTTCAATGAAATGCGCATCTACTTTTTTGAGGGACAAAATGGTAAATAGGGAGTTAGACTGGTATTGGATCCTTGTTTCAATTTCTGTGGTTCCATCACTGGAGCTATGAAGCATTCCATCATCAAATTGTAGTGGCTACTGGCTAGGGGAGGTAGGCAAGCTGGTGTGGATGGATGGCATCTTTTCCATTTATGAATGACCTTAAAATTACCAATTTACCCTTCCATATGGGAGTTGTGTGCCATTGGATAATCCCCTCCAATAGTATAAAGCCATTGATGAGTTGATTTTTTGGAAATTTAGTTGCTGGCATCAAGCCAAATCAGGGACTTGTTCTTCTTTTGTCTGCAAGTTTCTGTGGGGGTGAAAACAGGAAAAAGGAGGAGAGAGAGAGAGAGAGGTAAGAGAGAGAAGCAAAGCATTCTTGGAATCAAAGAAAAACCAGAGGGGTGTTTTGGTAAATAGGGCAGCAATTGGCACCTAACTTCCAAAGCCTAAAAATAAGGTGCCACTACTACCCCAATACCAACAACTGCAAACAGCCCATCAGAAAGAAGCAGCAACTTCCATCTCTCATTTATCTTTCTTTCTGCCCTTTTTTTAATCTTTCATCATCATCAAGCCCCAATCTTCAATGCCCACCTCTTTCTCTCTCTACAAGCACCAATCTTTCTCTCTTTCTCTCTTTCTCTCTCTAAAGATTCAGTCTTTTCTTCTTTCTCTCTCATCCATCACAGAGAAAAACGCACCTCCAAAGAAGGAACATTGAAGTTACACGCACGCCCCTTCCCCATCAAAAACAAAGAAGAGTCCACACCACGCCCAACTCTTCCCCCCTGTCTTTCTCTCTCTAGAAATTCTCTCTCTCTCTCCAATGGCCCAGCTGGACCAAAATTTATGTAGAAGAAAAACAAAAAAAGGAAAGAAGGGGAAAGAGGGAAAAGAAAGAGGAGATAGATGTCTTCTAATGTCCTCCAACCAAACCCACCTCACCTCACACAAAACTCTCTCTCTAGCCTCTCTCTCATCAACAAACATGTTGCCAGAAATGCCCTTCTGCAACCCCCCAAAAAATCTCCCATCTTCATCACTGTCTTTCAAAACAACATTATTTTTCACCGAGTTATGTGGGCTCTTTTGGGGTTTTTGTTGTCTTGGTCAGAGTTTTCACAGAGAAAACAGGAAAGCAAGAAACTTCTCCTCCCTTCCCACCCGCTCTCTCTTTCTCTCTCCTTTTATTTTCTTCCTTGTCCTTGTTGCTTCTCTCTTTCTCTCCCTACCCACTTTTATTATTTCCTCCCCAACTCTTTCTTCCTTTTTCACACCCATCTCCTCCTGCCCGTCTTTCTCTCTCTCCTCCCTGTAATTTTTGGGTTTTGGGTTCTGTGTTGTTTTACTTTCTCCCTGTGATCTGATGAAGAAGATGAAAGGGGTTGTTTCTGACGCTGTGGAGGACCAGAGGACCAGGTTCAAGCACCAGAGTCTCATGCAAGACTATGAGGAGCTGCAGAAGGTATAAATCTTTTCTGGGTATCATTAGATCTGGTGTATGGTGTTCATTTCTCTTGGGTTTTTGTTTATATTTTATGGGTTTTTTAGCTTTGGACTTTTTAGGGTTGTTTTTTATGTATGCCGGATTGATTAGAGCATGAAATAAGAACAAAAAGATTGAATTTTGGGTCTCAATTTCGTTGGGTTTGAGAGAGAGAGAGAGAGAGAGAGATTACTCAGGATTTTTTTTTTTAAAATTTTTTCCCAGTAGGTTTGTGATCTACTTGTGTTTTAGAGATTGCCATAGAAAATTATGAAAAGCGGGAATTGGAAATTTGTAGGTATATTTATGTTAATTTTTGTTTGGAAATTTGTAGCTTTCATGCTCTTTTGAGTTGTGATTGCCAAAGAAAAGGGAATTGGAAACCTGTAAATGTGTTTTTATGCTAATTCATATTAGAGCTTGACTAAACTAATTGAGGAATCATTTTTATTGCAGGATGCAGATGCTATGAAGAAGAAATTGCAGATGATGAAACAGAAAAAGTCTACGCTCGTAGCCGAAGTAAGGTATGACATCTGGTCCATACCATGTACACTTGTGAGATAGCGTATATGTACAATGAAAGAGGAAAGATGATGACTTGGTAATTGTTTATCTCTCGACTTCGCAGGTTTTTGAGGAGAAGATACAATTACTTATTGGGGAATCAGTCAACACACACTCGACCAAAGCAAGACGTTGTGAAAACACACAATCTAGATACCCAACGCGTGACCTATCTGAAGGGAAAGAGTTCCAGTAAGAAGGAATCAGCATCGCGATGCCCTCTGCCTGCATTAGACTTGAACAAAAAGGAAAAGGTTAAACATGGAATGGAAGACATCGTGCGGAAACCTCCTCCAAAATTTGACTTAAACCTTAATGCAAGGGCTCTTGGCGGAAAGGAAGCTACTTTGCGAACCCCCACTCCAAACTTTGACTTGAATAAGAAGGAAAGGGTTCAGAGCGGGAAGGACACGGCAAAGCGGAAGAGCACTCCGGTTTTTGACTTGAACCAGATTTCGGTAATCAAATAGTAAATGTTCCAAGTATGTGCTTTTGAGTCTCGGTGCTCTACTTCTGTTCTGTGAGGTTTGATGTTCCTTTGTTTCGTTTTGCAACAGAGAGAGGAGGAGGAGGAGGAATTTCAAGCGAATTATGAGTCGATGAGGATGGAGGAGCCCAACAAAACTTTACACAGAGGGGGAAATGACGATCAGCACAATGACATGAAGCTCCTGGCTTGCAGGACCATCGGGAGTGGGTCAAACCGATCCGGGAAGAGGAAGATTACTTGGCAAGATCAGGTGGCTTTACGGGTCTGATTTTACTTTCTTTCTTAAAGAATTTACTGATGAAGATCGTATATCTTGTTGGGGTTGGAAATTACGGTTTAGTTACTGTGCTTCTTTGATTTTCTTCTTTGTAAAGTTGTTATAGTCTTACATATCGAGTGTATACAGTTCAAATGATGGAATCAATGGTTTAGGATTATTCAGATTTCGTTTGTGTTCATGAAATGTTTCGAAAGTTTGCTTAGGATGCATACAGAATTCGATTTTATTGGTTATTTGAAATCATCGATGATCGATGTTTGGTGCAAGCAAGTAAAGTAAAGGTAACCCAAATTTTGTTCCGTTTTTTGTTCCGTTGCTTTCGTCTGGTTCTAAATCTTTAGCGGCCGGCTATGATAAATTTGTAAAGAAGAGGGGAAAACTTTGGGACCATCACGGGAGTTAGGTGTTTGGGAAGGTGATGGTGAAATGTTGATGCTTTTCCTAATGCTTCACCTTAAAGCTTGCCATGGTATCAAGCAATGCTATGGACATGCGTGTTTAACTTTTAAGTTAGCTTTTGTTTAAGTGCTAATGGGACTTGTGGAGTGCGTTGTCAATGGATGCTTTACAAACCCCTTTTCACCTACTTTTCGAAGACTTAATACTGATTTGGTACTGAGGAGTTTTTATAAAAAGTGAGTATAAAAAAAAGTTGTGCTCAAAAAGATGTTTGGTAAACATTTAAAAACAGCTTATTTTTACTGTTTTTGTTGAAAAAAAAGCTGAAAACGTGAAGCAGTAAAAATGAGCTTATTCTCATAGCAAAGTAGAAGCAGTTTTTTCTTCAAAGCACAACAATACCAAACCAATCCTTACTCACGCTTGGTACGCCATTGAATCCACATCTTTAACTAATAGCGTAAAGCTTAATTAGTGGCAAGGGGTTTGTAGCTCATGCGGTTACGAGTGTTTACTCTTCTAACCAAAATTTTGTGTTTGTGCAATATTAGAAACGATTAACTGGTATGATCCTCCATTGAGTCGAGTGAAGTCGGATTTTGAGTCTGCAAATGTTTGTTTATTTATTTGAGCGATATTCTAATCTAAACAACAATCATTGAGATTTAAATTTAGGTGAGAGAGAGCACTTTTTTGGCCAACGAGACTACGTCCAGATCTGTATATACACAGTAAAAACAAACAGATCGTGAACCCCCCTGGATTTCGTTTTATGTCTTGTTTTGTTTGTTGGAATATATTTCTCCCTTGTGATATACTCTGCCTAAAAAAATGTACCACTTATAGTAAGTAGGTCCAACTCTCATGTCTTCTTTTCCCTCCTTTGGGTTGTACGTGGTGAAGACGATTGTCTTGGTGTTTACACACCTAAAAACTAAAAGTAATTTCCGAACCCCCTTCTACTTCTTCGGTACACTTCTAATGATTTATTCAATTCAAAAGCGAGAGAAAAAAAAAAAAACGTGCATAAAGAGAAAATTGGTGTACAGAAAATAAACAACCCGAAACTTCAAATAAAAAGCAGGACATCAACAGATAAATCGCGCCCCTCTGCTGCAACTTATTCATCATTGGGTATGCAGCTCATTTATCTGTGTCTGCAACAACAATTTCTGCACTGTTATTTGCTTCTTTTGCCACAGCAGTGTTATGAATTCTCATTAGCGCGATCATGATGCCATTGAACTTCTCCTGTGCTTCTTTGGCCGTGTCAGCATCTTCTGCATCCTTACTAGCCTCTGCTGATGGTATGGCAGTGGGTGTTGGAATCTTCTGGTGCGCTTCTTTGGCCACATCAGAATCTTCTGCCTTGATACTAGCCTCTGATGATGAAATGGCAGTGGCTGTCGGAATCTTCTCCTGCACTTCTTTGGCCGCATCAGTATCTTCTGCGTCCTTGCTAGCCTCCGATGATGCCATGAAACTTGCAATCGGAATATTAATCTGTGTAGGTTCCTGACTCCTAGCAATGTGCTTCTTCCCACTTATATGAGACGACCACACCTTTAGATTATAGGCACCAATTTTACAACTTTCACACCAAAACTTAAATGTCTTCTGTTTCTTTACATCTTCTTTTGTCTCCAGTCCTTCCACCATTTTAACCTCGTCCTTGTTCTTGAGAACCTCTCCACATTGGTCTTTCAGCATTGGCGGCTCCTCTTTTTCCTTTTTTGAGGTGCCTTGTTCCTGTATTTTCTGGTTGGAAATGTCACTGGTTTCATTATGGTCAAGCGATTTTCTAACTTGTTTGGCCCTCAATTCTGTGCTTCTGACGCCTTTGATCTTCTTAGGCTCAGAAAAGTTTGCAGCTTTCTTTGACGATTGTGCATTGCTGGAGCTTGGTTTCTGAGCTCTCAGTCTTGCTTCCTTGGCTTGGTGCTTCTTACCGTTAATGTGATGAATCAAGCCTTTCTCACTTGTTGCACTAACATGGCACAGGGCGCAGCTCCATTCCTCCTTGGGTTTCTTTTTCAACCCAAATGCGGGTAGCTCACTTGCACTCACTGTTGGTGGTGTTTTCCGCTTGACTCCGGAGAGATTTGGATCAGGTTTCGCCTGCAACAAAGATGCTTATACGGAGTCCATTAACAAACAGTAGTTTTCTTTCGACCAAAAAAAAAAACAAACAAACAGTAGTTTTCAACCCAAATGAACAACAATAGACAACTTTCGGTCATCTTATGTAGAAACAACCAGTGACAAGAATGCGTTGTCTAAGAAATCTGCAAGATGTCAACCTTCAATTTTGAATGCAGTTGCACAACTCAGCCAATAAATGATTTTAATATCGATGCTTGTCTTACCATTATAACCTTGATTCAAAACAAATATTCAAGATGCTGAAATAATAGCAGAGGAATCTGTCTGTGTCCTTAATACTTCGGTGAGTGTGGCATCTAGATACAATTATGTATAAGGACAATTTACCTAACACAAGGGACTGCTGCATATGCATGGGTAGCCTACTCCAAGTGAACCCGCAAATGAAAAATCAACTTCCAATGATCACCACAGCCATTAATGTTAAATAATTCCGTACCTTGATCAAACTGATGTCACTATAACAAAATGTCATAGTAAACCATCTTATTCACTGATCGAGGAAAAATAATCTACATAATGACAATGATGCCCCGTTGGGACTGACTTTTAAAGTGCTGATCCATAAGCAAAAGGACTACCACATGCATAGGGAGCGAATTGATATAAACCTTGTAACTCAATATTAGCAATGTAACATTGGTTTTCAGCACAACCACTTAGGCAATGCAGACGCTACTAGTAACACAGACTCTGCAATGTAATTGTAAAACATGGACCCCAAAAGCCATGATTTCTCGGGTTGAAGGAGCCGGAAATCAAGACAATCCAAAAAAAGGGTGTGTCTTGGTTTGCAATTGACCACCAACCTCATCTTTTACCTTGGTTCTCGTGGTCTAACCACGGCTCTTAGGCCTCGTTTGGTGTCTATGATTGGATTCGATAACTCGCTATGTATGCTAATGAAAGAAACGGATGTAATGTTTTAAGGTTGACATCAATTGCTTAATTCATCATACATAGAAACGAGTTATCCAATCCAATCCAATGCATCCTTGACACCAAGCGATGCCTTCATTGCCAGAAAATCATCCTAAACCCCGAAAAATCTCCCACTCTAGCACAAAACAGAGCATTCCCACCACAAGTGCTGTAAACCATAAACAGAGCATAATTAAGTTAAAAAGCAATCAAATAATGTAGAAATGCGACTGACCAGTATGATCAACTTGTCCTTGTTGTTGAGGTCTAAAGTAGGAGGAGCCGGAAGCGCGTTGAAGCCATTGGTCAGTGGTTCCGGCTGCCGCCGCCACGTGAAACTATCAAATGCGGCGGGCGCACGAGAAGCGAAGAATCCGAACCGGTCATCATCGAAGGAGTGGTAGACTCTGTGGTCGAACCGCATCGCACCGAACCGGTCCTGATCAAAACCGAGCCCTTCGCCAGCGGGTCTTCGCATGGCGATTTCCCGCTCCAGCATGAGTTCCCTCCTCACCTCCGCTTCGAGAGCCCACCGTCGCGCTATCTCGGCCGCGATAATCTCCTCCCTGATCATCTCCTTCTCCAGCTGACGCTCGATCAACTCGTCACGGACGGACCTCGGGTTCTGGGCCCGGTCCAGGTTCAATCTCATATCCGGATTCCGGAAAATCGACGGCGGCGGCGCAAAATTCGGTTGTGTTGAAATCGCCGCCAGAGTCGAAGTAATAAGAGCAGCTGTTTGGCCTGTTTAGAGAAGATTATAGAGCGACAAAATTAACTGAATTGAATTTCTATGAAGAAAAGAACTGAAATTCGAACTAAATTTACTTTCTTTTGGTTTTCTCGGCAGCCAAACAGAAGAGCGAGGAAAGAGAAAATTGCGAGAAGAGTAAGAAGGTAGAGAGAGACCTCGGAATGCGGCTTGCTCGGAGGAGAAGTAGCTGACGGCGGAAGAAGGCGACGGCGGCGGCGTTCGTGGTGGCGCAAAATTCGGTTGTGTTGAAATCGCCGCCAGAGTCGAAGTAATAAGAGCAGCTGTTTGGCCTGTTTAGAGAAGATTATAGAGCGACAAAATTAACTGAATTGAATTTCTATGAAGAAAAGAACTGAAATTCGAACTAAATTTACTTTCTTTTGGTTTTCTCGGCAGCCAAACAGAAGAGCGAGGAAAGAGAAAATTGCGAGAAGAGTAAGAAGGTAGAGAGAGACCTCGGAATGCGGCTTGCTCGGAGGAGAAGTAGCTGACGGCGGAAGAAGGCGACGGCGGCGGCGGCCTCTCGTCCACCGATCGGAATTTGAACTCCATGGAATCAATAGAACGTTGCGCTTTCAAGTTTGAATTGGGAAAGTACAGAAACGAGAAAGAACAAACGTTTCTGGTAGGCGTTGCAGTTACAACAGCAAGATATACTGTCTCACTGGATTCTCGGGTACCTGAGAGAATGGCGAAATAGTGACGAAATGCTGGACGGGGATGGCGGGGCCCACGGAGGAGGAGGGGAGGAGAAGGACAAGCGAAAAGCAGGTGGAGAGGTGTAGGTGGCGTGGGGCTGTGCACCCGCGGGAGCTTGTGCTCCTCTACAGCCGTTTCGGTTACTGTTCATTGATTGGGTTGGCGCTGTATTTCGGCCCAATACATGGGCAAGCCCAAAACTGTGAAGTTGGGCTTTATCTATTTATATATGGCGGGCTCTGGTGCGAAAAAAGCCCAATACACTGGACGTCACCGTCACGATTCATCAACCATCTTATCTTTGTTTGCTTCTTCATTAAGACCAAACACAATCTCTCTCTAGAAAATATCTGAGAAACAAAAATGCCGAGTCGCTGCGAGATCTTTTGCGAGATTCTGATCGCAATTTTGCTCCCTCCGCTGGGCGTTTGTCTCCGGCACGGCTGCTGCACCGTAAGGCCCCTTTCTTTCTCCTCCGTCGTCTTCTTCTGGAGGCAGATTTGATCTTATTAATGGTGAAAAATTGAATTTTGGAATTGGATTGGCAATTACTTGTGCAGGTGGAGTTCTGCATATGCTTGCTGCTGACGCTGCTGGGGTACATTCCGGGAATCATCTACGCCCTCTACGCCATCGTCTTCATCAATCGCGACGAGTACTTCGATGAGTACCGGCGCCCCCTCTACGCCTCCTCCTCGGATTAACGTGGTTCTTCATTTTTTTTTTGTTGGGTTCAGAACAAAATGGGATCTTGGATCTTTTGTTTGCCTGTTATGTTGATATTTTATGTTTGTAATAAATTGAATGATTTCTCCATGGTCGAGATCTGAATTGTATACTGCATGTGTTAGACTGATTGTTTTTGTTCGCCATCGGGAAATTAAGAGACTTTGCATGTCCGCGTATAAATTGCGGTAGAAATAGAATTTTCTAGTATGCTCCGGAGTACGCTATACTTTCTTGGTCGGGGATTTATTAACCAAGGTCTACCAAATAGAAATTCCGTGGTATACACTACACCGGAGCATATTTGAATTTCGAGAAGGGTTTGATGCTTCAAGTCTGTGTTTGTATTTTCGATACAACCAAATGAACATTTCCCTCCTTGTTTTTCCCAAGCTAGGAGAAAAACTTCGGTACGGGCATATGATCACATGGGCGTTTGCCTCCACACTCACACAAAGGGAGTATTTTGTCCCACAACCACCACCCACCTCCCCTTTGATTTGTTCCCAGAGGTGAGCGGAGCTAGAGCCAACAAGGCCTTCTTTTAGTTTAAGGAGGCATGAGACGAAACTGCATCAACTGTTCCTCCTCTTGGTGGGAGGCGGGGAGCTGGAAAGGAATATTGCATTGCAACATAGACCGAATCATCTTAACAAGCCTTTCATTCCTTCTGTAGCAATTTTGGTTACTTTTCGGCTCGAATAATAACCTTCTTAGGTATTCGGTGGTATATTTCTGTGCTTCTATAAGACACTCAGTACTATGGTTTTGTGATATACTTCTTTACTTATAAGTGATAGCTCTTAAGTTTGAATCTTGTAGATAACGAATTCGATACCAAATTAAGTTATCCATTGTAAGATTTATCGAACTTCTCTCCCTTTCCTTCCCTCTTAGTGTAAAATATATAGTTTTTGGCTCTCTAAATCACGTCGGATTTCATACCTTGCTACGAAAATGGTAAAAATGTGACTGCTTACATGATGAATCATCATGATGCATAACATCATCATGTACTGACAACTATTAACGGTTCAGATTTAGGAGGATTTTAGATCTTTCAATCATATCCGTTCATATGTCATCGTACATCGTGCGGTCATAAATTATTATAAATTTTTTAATTTAAAATTGAATATAAACAGTATCACAAAAACTGATCATACAATTTATGATGAACGGACGTGATTGAAGAATTCTCAGAATTTGAACCAATGAGAATCCTCTCTCAGATAAGGCGCCCATTGGATAGGCAGATGAGTGGTGACACAAAGAACCGACACGTGGCAAGTTTTGGAACTACCTTGCACGTAAAATGACCGATCTACCCCACTAAACCCCTAGTAACCTTTCCGAAGGCACCACCTCTCGCCGCGAAACCACTGAAAATGGACACAACCGACACCGAAGAAACTGTGACACCTGACTGGGCCGAGTGACCCAGGAGTGCCTGATCAATATCCTGGGTCGGCTCACCCTGGAGCACCGATGGAGTGGGGCGATGCTGGTCTGCAAGCCGTGGCTGCAGGTGTGCAAGGATCCCTGCCTCAAATTCTCGACTGAGCCGCTTGTTTGACCTCGGCGGCCGTTCGAATCGAGGGTGGTGGACTCCGAGTTCGAGCGCGGATCGATTCCCATCTCCGATCTGTCTCATTGGAGCGAGCGGCTCGTTGAAACAGATTCGTACCAGGCACTGCTCCGACCAGTCTCTCTCGCACGTCGCTCAGAGGTATAACTGAATACGATTTGTTTATCTGTTTTGAATTAGGAGAATCGGGTTATGCGTAATTTTGAATGACAAAAGTGGGTTATCGTTGATTCGATGTTTTTGGCATAAAGTTTTGATCTGATTGTTGATGCCTGGATTAAGGTTTAAGATTGAGTTTTGGTTCGTCAAATTTGATATCTCTTGAGGTTTAGATTGTATGGCACTAATACTACCTTAAAAATAGGTTAATAATCGTTTCGGATCTACAATTGGAAGTGTTTTTTTGCCATATATAGCATTTTGAAGCATCATTTTTCCTTCCGTTTGAATGAGGAAGTGAGACATTGTAGTGATTGTAATGTAATGTTTTAGGTGCCCGAACCTCGAGGTTCTTTCGATCAAGAGCCCGAATGTGACTATTGTCCATGGCTGAATATAGCGATTCGCTGCCCCATGATCCGGGAACTTGATATCAATGACAAGAAGTAATCTCAATGAGTCTCTGGTGCGATTGGGATACTGCCCAAATCTGAAATCTTGAGGGAATATGCTGAACCTGGTTAATCCGCCGAATACACTGAGTTGTTCCAGATGAAGTTCTTAAAAACTTGCCTCAGGATGAAATTCAGAGCTGCTGCATGAGCAAATCTTATGCCAAATATTCGCACCATTGAAACTTTGCGCATTCTCAAAGGTATCGGCTAAAGGGTTTACTTTGATACCTGTAGGATGTCCAAATCTCGAGTACTTGGATTTATTTGGGTGTGTGAACTTGACTAGCCGGGAATATTGGAACCACATCCAATCTAAAGAACTGAAAGGAGATTAAAAGCAAACTTCTACAATCCACGGTCAGTCTTCCATTCGGAGAGGTATGGCCATTGGAGGTTGTATGACGAGCGATTCCAGACAGATGTTTTCAGAATCTAGTCTGCTAAGCTCGGACATAAGACATGTATGACCGTGTTTGTTGCTCTGATCAATTGTGGGAAAAGCATATTGTATATGCTGGTGTGTGGAGCTCTTTACAAAAGGTTTTGTACTCTTTACTTCTACTTATCGAAAACCTTGTCAATAAACGCCAATAACAAATGTATAGGAGTTCATGTATAAACCATGTATTAATGCTTTTCTCTTTGCATTTAGTATCATACTTTAATTTGCATGTACAAATCATGTTTCTGCTTTCCTTTAAACATCGCCATGCTCAATGCTCATATACAGATCAGTTAGCAGACAACTAAATAGATATTCTACCTAACGATTACATAAGAAGCAGGTTTGAGGAACGGGCTTAAACGTGCGTTTAACAGCGAAAGTTATAGAATATCAGAGTTTCTTGAGAAGAGAGAAGAGTATTTCTTAGAGATTAAGAAACTGTTAATATTTCACATACTCCAGTAGAATAAACAGTTACATATATATAGCCTTTGGCTATTCCACCCTAACATACCTCACTCACTAATTACATGTGTAACAAACTTATATTAAACTAATAGAATCAATTCAGTTAATAATAGTGACAATCTTCATCTTTACACTCCCTCAAGCCAACTTGGAAAACGAGAAAGAGTGCAAGAGAACTTGATGCAGAAAGAAACCCGAGATTTCATTGGTTTTGTTAGTCTTGCAATTTGTGATAACCAATATGCACTCTGACTACAATTTCAGAACCTTGGGAATTAATGGAATGATCTCCACAAGTTTGCGAGCAGGATAGGCTAAAGGCTGAGATATGCAGAATGTTATCACACCACAGATTACTGCAGATAAGGAGAAGCCCAAATCGTAACACCTCAGACCCGTAAGTTTAATGCTGTGTGGAAACTATTCGCCCTGTTTGGAGCAGGGTTTCTGCAAACACTAATCCAGTTAGACCCATACACGACTAGGGCTCGTCAAATGGCAGTGATCCAATTTTATCCGAGTCCCAGAAGGAGATGTGCCCGGTTGCAACAAAAGAGGAGAACAACCTTTGAAATCTAAGATCCCTTCGCCTGAACAAATGAGTGACTGTTAGAGCATGCCATATAATACACACTTGGTTGCAGCAAAAGGAAAATATTGGGGGTCGAAGTCCAGTGAGATAATTGTAAGGACCCACAATAGATCGATATTCAGTAGGATTTGGTAACAAGACACCACTGTGATCTAATTTTGGAGGAACGGAGGGAGTGGAACAGGGTTTAGCTCCAGCCATGTTTGGTTGTGCAACAGAAATGAAGAATACTTTACTGATCGCAAAAAGAGACTGGTGGGTAGTTCGGTGTACTTCCAAACCCAAAAAATAGTGGCAGGCTTCCTAGTCTTGACTGAATAACGTGCTGAGCTGTGAATAGACAACGTTGGCAGAGAGAACATAGGCCAACTGATGAGTATAATCATCACATACACAGCACACATATTACCAAGGATGGAACTGAAGAACAACAGAGATCATCGAAGAAGATGGAGTAAATCCAAGAGGTGAAGAGCCTGAAACAACTTGTCAAACCAGGCCCGGGGTGCCCTGCTTGAGCCCATATAAGATTTCTTTGAGCTTACAAGCATGATGAGGAAGAGACGGATCTGAAACCGGGAGGTTGAACCATAACACATCTTCCTTTCAAAATCCCTGCCCTCCTCATTTGCCCTATCTAACTCCCTGCAGAAACCCTTAATTGAACAGCAAAGGCATAAGATGGGATCTAACACTTTAGCAACTGGATGAAGACTATTCAAGCTTCCATTGTGAAAGCTTTGGCTACAAGCGGGCTTTGTACCCAATTTTAGGCCACAGGACGAGTTTTAGACTGCTGTCATTACTCCACAACTTCTCTGTAGGTTGACAACCCGTGCCTGTGGCTAAGGTTAATTCATTCTTTGCATTTGGTCTCCCAATCTGCAGATTGGAAGCTTGCAAAAAAGTGGGAATCACTTCTGCAAGAGGAAGTGGATGATTAGTGACATTGGAAAAGCCCTATAGGGTTTAGAAATACCATTAGTTTCTGGACCGTGAATGCGCATGGGATGGACATTGGACTTGCTGCATGGGTGGATGGTTTTGCTGCAGGGTGGAGGTTGGCTGCCAGGGTGGATGGTTGCTGCAAGAGGGATGTGTGGGTGCAGAGAGGGAAGAAGGTTGTTGGTCGAGGGGGGTGGGTTGAAATAGAAGGAGGACGATCAGAACAAATGGGAGTGGTGTGGAATGACAGGTTGGAGTTGGTAAGAATTTAGAAAGACTAAATCAAAAGGCGGAGAAGAAGAAGAGATCGGAGATCACAAGAATGTGAATGATCGGGGAAAAAGAAATGAAGTTCTCCAGAAAGTTTCCTGGAATTAAATGATTTTAATCCACAGATATGCAATAATGTAACAAAGAACATTGGACTTTTTGCCATCAAGTTTTCGTGCACATAAGGCCTTTAACCAAGGAAAGCCAA